TTGTCATTTTTGGGAACATTAACTTAATTAAATTTTCTGGCAGTTATATTAAATTGGTTCAGCATATGTTGTAAATCGTCTTCACTTTGAGAGAGTACTACGTCATCTGCATAGTAGATTATTTTAAGTTGTTTTTCTCCCATTTGGCATCTTTTTTAGTTCTTACGTTTTTGATTATTTCATCCATAATCAGGTTAAACAATAGAGGAGTCTAGGAATCTCCCTGTCTTATTCCATTGCCAGTTTCAATAGGATCAGTTAGTTCTTCTTCTACTTTTACTTTTATTAGTAGGTATCTCTCTTGCGTACAGTAAGTAGATAACGTCCTTTAATTTGATCCGGTCAAATGCCTTTGTATTCTAATGTTGTTGTATTCTAATGATTTCTCTTGCACTTGCCTCATTATAAATATATGCGTCGGTGCATGATTTTCCCGAACTAAAACCTTGATGTTTTTCTTCTAGTGTTATAATTATATTCAGTTTATGTGTTATCACTTTGCTTGTTAATGTTAGTGATTGTGTTTAATAAATGTTTTTCTTTGTAATATTCTGTGTCCGATTTGTCTCTCTTTTTGAAGAGAAGTATTAGGATGCTTGATCTCTATTCTTGAGGAATTCTGTTTTGTTTTATTATTTTTTGGATTAGTTGTAATAGTTGTTTGGTCAGATCTGGTCCTCCGTACTTTAGGAGTTCGTTCGATATACTGTCCTCTCCTGGTGATTGCCTATTATTTAATTTCAGTATTTCAGTGTAAAGTATTTCAGGATAATTCTTATTTTATGTAGTACTAGTCTATGGTCGCTACCTACATCTGCTGAATTAAGGCATCTTACGTCGATTATTTTCGATGGATGTATACATATTGAACGAATTTAAAACGGATCATACAATTTAATATATGTCCGTTTGAACTGCATTTGAAATAGTGGACCAATATAAAACTTGGACAAAAATAAATTCATACCTGGGTTTAGACATTGTATAAAATATCGTTCAACTAACTGTTTCGCAACAATGTTGTTTGCGTAACAATGTTGCCAATCGCCGTGTAATAATCCGATTTGCGAATCTTTTTGAGAGTTATATCTTCTTCGTATCTTTAAATAAATCGAATATTTGCCTATATTTTTCATTATATTTACCAATCTACTACAACAGACTAATAACAAAAATAAACTTAATGGTTTGTAGTTATTTTCTTTTTTTCTTGTAAATATTTTATGGATAACACCTTATTTGAGAGACATCTAAAGGAATGACGTTGGCAACACCGCTCACAAAAGGGCTTGTCTAAAGAAGCGATAACTGGTTTGACAGCATAATAAAATCGTAGATTTATGTGTAGCTTTCAATTTTTATGATATCAGAATCCAGCAGCCCGCTGAAGTATTGGGTTTTTATAATATAATTATTTGACAACCTTTTGTTGGCCAACCATCTACAGCAAAATTGAGTCGAAATACATAATATTTCGTATGTTCCGAATTTATTTCGTTCAATCTGTATCTCTGTTGGTTATAACATAATCTATCGTAGATCTTTGTCCACGGGTGTTATTAATAGTACGTTTGTGTTGGTCTTTGTAGTCAAAAAATGTGGTGTTTGTTCTAAATTCGTTATTCGTGCAGAAGTTTATTATCAGTTTTCTATTTTAGTTTTTAACATCTTCGTTATGTTTTTGCTTAATTCCGGGTATTATTTGATTGCCTATTCGAGCGTTAAAATCCCCCAATATTAGCATCTTCCCTCTGACTTGATCTACTACTTGTTGTAGTTGGTCATAAAATGTTTCCTTTGCTGTTTGAGGCTTGTTAATTTCTAGGCTGTATACTCCGATCATGTTCAGGTCTTCCTTCTCCATTCTTATCTTTGCTGTCACAATTATTTCTGATATGTATTGACACTTTTTGATGTGATTTTGGTACCTTTGGTGTATTAAATGTATGGTGTATGATAAATGAAGATCTTCGGATCTTCACAATCTTCGGATTTGCGGCACATCGAGGAAGGAGACGAAGAAATAAGCAGCCCGACTCTTAAAGAAGTCAAACAAGCAATACAGGCGCAAAGAAACAACAAAGCGCCGGGATTTGACGATGTCCCTTCCGAACTGTATAAATTAGGTGGCGAACATCTAACAACGCAGGTGCACGCGCTCATATCTAAGGTATGGAGGAAAGAAAAAATTCCTAGCGATTGGAAAAATGGGATTATCTGCCCAATCTACAAAAAAGGGGACAAACTTAAATGCGAAAATTACCGCGGCATAACTCTCCTATGTTCGGCCTACAAAATTTTTACATCCATCCTGAATAGGCGACTTCAACCATTATGTGAAAATATTATCGGCGAATACCAGACCGGTTTTCGACAAGGCAGGTCGACAATAGATCAGCTTTTTACAGTAAAGCAAATCCTTAATAAAGCTTGGGAACACGATATTGATGTTCACAATATATTTGTCGACTTCAAACAGGCTTATGACTCCATAAATAGAAGCCGGTTATATAACATCATGGAAAGCTTCAATATTCCCTCGAAATATATCCGACTAGTAAAAGCAACGATGGACTCCACAATAGCAACTGTACGCATACAGTACGAATTAACTGACAGCTTCGAAATAGTTCAAGGGCTGAAACAAGGTGATGGACTAGCTCCAACACTGTTCAATCTGGCCCTTGAATATGTCATCAGAAAGCTGAATGTCGGAAGAGCCAATCTCCTAACAAACAAATCTGTCCAGCTCGCCGCATATGCGGATGACATTAACCTCATGTCCCGCAGAGTGGATGATGCAGCAGAAACATATTCGCAGCTGAAAAAAACGGCCAAGGAGATTGGACTTGAAATAAATACACAGAAGACAAAAATACTAACACAGACGCGGACAAAGCGAACAAGAAATCAAATCAAAGTAGAGGATGACATTGAAACAGTGAAGAGTTTTACTTATCTGGGAGTCGAAATGAATACGGAGGGAACAGAAGAGGCCGAAATTCAGAAGAGAATAATGAAGGGAAATAAAGCCTATTTTTCCCTGATTAACATATTCCGCTCCAAGACAGTACATCGAAAATCGAAACTTAAGGTCTATAAAACTATCATCAGACCGATAGTATGCTATGGATGCGAGACATGGGTTTTGACAGAAAGCACTAAACGAAGATTAGAGGTTTTCGAGAGAAAAATCCTAAGGAAGATCTTTGGACCCATCACTCAAAATGGGATGTGGAGATCTAGATATAACCATGAACTCTACCAACTGTTCAAAGAAGCACCTATTGCAGAGTTCGCTAGAGTACAAAGGCTTCGATGGGCTGGTCATGTGGTACGGATGGATGCCGACAGATTGCCGAGAAAGGCCTTGGATGGTAAAATGCAGGGCAGAAGACCAAAGGGAAGACCACGTAATAGATGGGAGAACGAAGTCACAGCAGATGCGCACAACTTATTGAACGTCAGGGCTTGGAGACGAGTGGCGCGGGATCGCCTTTGTTGGAGGCAGAAGTTACAGGAGGCCAAGGCTCAATTTGGGCTGTAGCGCCATTGGAAGAAGAAGAAGAAGTATGATAAATGGTGTATTAAGGCTACATCTCCTTTGGTCGTTTTCTTTTGCTACTCCACTGTAGCATGTATTCACCTAATTTGATTGTCGTTTTCCTATCTTTTTTGTTTCATAGAGAACACACATGTCTACCTCTTTCTTTTTCACCACTGATGTTATTTCTTGTTCCTTTAAGTTGAGGGATCTGATATTGCAAGTAGTAATTCTCATCTGGGTTTTAGATGTTTTTAGCTTGTTCTTATTTCTTACCGTAGTCGTCTTCATAGTATCAATCCGGTTTCGATACTGTGCATTATTTCTTTGAGCAGTATTCGTTTTTACGATTGGTAGGTTGCTAACCTTTCGAATCACCCCCCACATTTTATCCGGGCTTGGGACCGGCTGTGGCAACCGCAGAACTACTGAATCCACCCTGCAATCACCCCAGGCAGTGTTTAACACTCTTTAACAAACAAACTAACAACCGACAAACTTTAACACCTCTAGTATTATATTGATTTAGGCAATCGCAAAATCTTTTGGATTGCTTATAAAATATGTACCTATTACAAACCAATAGAAATAAAAATAACTCCGTTTTACGGTACTCTCCAATCGTTATTTTCTTTTATACTTGGTATGTGCGTATTTTCTTATTAATAATACCAAATCAATAACGAAACAAATTATCCTTAAGTAAATCCCTCCCAGGAAGGCAGTTTAAAAACATCCATACTATATTTTGAAGCGTTATACTTTAAAATACCTATGTAATGACATTTCAAAAGTATTAGTAGTGCAGATATAAATTAGTCCAAGATAAAATGATCAAAAGAATTTGTTTTGTTTCCAAATATAAAAAACAAGAGTTTCTTCATTTCAAAAATGTATTTTCAAAACGTCGTCTAATCTCTGTGCCGAACGTCAAATGAAATTTATTCTATAATTTTGGTTTATTTCTTTCAAGATATTTGACAAATTATATTTTTCTAGAGAACTAAGTAGTTAATTTTGAAATATAAACATTTATGCACGTTCTTTGAGATAAAGTATATTATTTAAATAAGAATAAAAACATCAAAAGGTTCATTCTTTTTAAACTTTAGGGACTAAAAAGGTTTTATTGGATTACTCCCTTCCATTTTCACGTCTTTTATCAATATATCAATATCAAGAAAAGTGATGTATATTTTTTTTAAGTGAAATCTTTATAACGCTGTTTAAATAATAATATAAATTACTCCAATAAAATCATACTTATTTATATTAAAAGTGAACATTCTCTGTGTAATTCCTAGCTAATATTTCTGTGCCGATTTAACCAAATAAGGCCTACCCTACTTTCCGTAAGGTTTCTCAATGATTTCTTTGGATTTTGATTTAACAGGAACATCCAATGTAAAATCGTTGAACATCGTGTGTATTCGCATAGAGTGTGCGTTGTAGGTCTATTCGCGACAAGCATTTCCAGCAGGCCTAGAAGCCCGGGCTCGGTCGCAGCCCCTTTAGTTTTGCCGTTTAATTTGTATATGTATGTATGGCCAACTAAATTATCAGGCTAATACCAATTTCACCCGTCTTTAAAAGTCAACAAAAACGCGTAACTCGGTAAATAATCACGTTTAGAATATAAAATAGGATTCGTTAGACTTAATAAACTTCTGTTTTGTGACTGCTTTCCACAGTGTTGTGTGTTTGTCCTATTATTGAGGAATTCCTACATGGTTTCCATAATATAGGTTGGTCACCTGTTGTTTTACTATTAATATTAGTTAGCAGTTACTTCCCGATATGTCAGGTTGGGTACTATTTCATACATATACTGAGCAACCAGCGACGTCTTGGTAAACAATATGCATCTACCAAATCTTATAAAATAACATGCCAATAAACCACTACAATTTAGAAGAGTTCTAAATGAGTATTAAATAAATAAATAAAACATGAGTATAACTGGTTGCATTCACTATGTTATATGTACATAGTAACAGGTTCAAAGTACTTTAAGTAATCAGTACTGATCAGCTGCTTAAAAATTCTGTAGGTACCTACTTAATTTAAATAATAATATTCTCCTCGCAAAATATCTATCAGCAAATATACAATCATGTGTATCTATATTTGTTTAACTTTACATTATCTTATTCTCAATGATAAATAAGAACAAATGACTGCCAAATTTATATCTTCCGGTAGCAAAATATTTACCATATTTCCAGTACATTTTAAAATCTTAGTGATATTGATTTTGGCGCTCATTTGGTCAACAATTAACTGACTTTGTGTACACTTGTAAAGTCGTGCAAATTGTATATCTGACATAAGAGAAATATTGACTTTATAATTATTATTCGTTACTTCTACCAAAATATTTTAATCATTTATTTGTTTTCAACACCATGTGAATTTCAGTAAATTATAATCGGAATTTGTGTTTAGAGTACATTATATATTTATAATTGTTTGTACAGGGCGTCCTAGTTTTATTATGATCATTTTAAATCAACTTCATATAAATTAAATTATAAAAAACGCTTTGTACGTCAACTAAGGGCTCTTTAAAGATGGCAACCTAACGTCGGGTATATTAAAATATTCAAGTTTTTTAAATAACCACATTTTTATGTTTATCCACCGGAAAGTGCCTACTTTAAAACTTTAAATACTCGTATGTTTTTGAATTGGTTATACGCGGCTCGTTTGGGACGAACATTACACATTTTATTCATAATTGTGTTTAAATTTTACTACCTACATGCCATTCAATTTAATAAATATTGATTTTTTTTATACTAAACAATGCTTCTGTCTAAAGTCGCTATGACGCACCGTTTTCGAAAAAAATCGATTCAAACTTTTCATGAAGAGAATATCTCCTACAAAGTTCATGCACGTACTTGATCAGCTGTTCAACTGCATGCTGTCACAACCGTACATCTTTGCCTAATTTTCCGAATATTAGAGGGTATAGAGCAATTTAAAAATGAAGATGAATCGGTATTTTATGTTTACAGGGAGGAAATGAATAGATCGTTGACCCAGTACATAATTTTGGCTATTAAAAGTGTTAAGTTTAGGGCACAATGCGACAATTTCGACGGTTTATTGCAATTCTGACGGAGTTGAAAAACATCATACATCATTGTTTTATGAATTAATTTTTTAATCTTTAGTAAAAAAATCATCATACACTGCGCTCCAAAATAAACGCATAATTTTAAAATTCTTATTTTGAGTTGTAATGAAAAAATTTTTGTTTGATGTTTACTGCTTTATGTTTGTTTTAGAACATCTTAAATAAAAAACTTTTCTTCTTTCACAAAAAATATATTGAAATTAACAATATAACATCATAAATCTAAATATCTAAACAAACAACTGATCTAAACAAACTAACATTATAAACTCGAAATTGAAATTTTTTAATTTGAAGAAAATACTAGTAAGTACCGATTATTTCCTCCTCTGGCATTTATTACTGCTTGACAACGATCTCCCTTACTGGACAGCAACCGCAAAAACAGTTCATCTAATGTGTTTGGTGCATTAGGTAGTTGTCGTAATGGTCTGCCTATGATGTCCCAAACATGTTCTATTGGGTTGAGGTCAGGACTTCTCGCAGGCTAATTCATGGCAGGAATTCTAACCTCCTGACGATACTGCTGCACAATTCTTGCTGTGTGTGGCCTGGCATTATCTTGCATAAGCATGAGATTGTCCCCATGCTCCGATCCGACATGCTCTTCTAAAATGTCTGTTATGTACCTCTGCGATGTAAGCCAACCGCGATCTATTTTAACTAATTCCGTATGAGTCTCTAAATTAATCCCACCCCTCACCATTACCGAGCCGCCGTCATACTGTACAGTCCCTACGGTGTTACACTGTGCGTAGCGTTCTCCAGGCCTTCTATATACTCGGTTTCTCCTGTCATCAGGAAAAAAAAGTACCTTGATTCATCGGTGAACAATATTCTTTCCCAATCGTCTTTATTCCAATCAACATGTTTACGAGCAAAATTAAATCTTTGCCTTCTATGTTCTCTGGTCAATAAAGGGCCAATTGGTGCCCTTCCAGGGTATAGATCGCTTTCCGCAAGTCTTCTTCTAATCGTATTTTAACTGATTCTAAAGGTATAACGATCAAAAAATTCATTTTGTAGAGAAGTACTGGTAACAAACCTTTGTCTCAGTGAACGAAGTGTCAAAAACCGGTCTTGATTAGGAGTTGTAACCCTTCTAGGGCCTTGACCAGGTCTTCTCGAGTTACTTCCAGAAACAGAAAAACGTGTTAACACTATTGAAATGGTTGACTGGGTGAAGTTAAAACGTTCAGCGAGTTCTACTTGAGTGTATCTTTCTTCTCGAAGAGTAACGAATCTAAAACAATCACTTTCTGACAAATTTTGATTGTCTTGCTGCTGGTGGTTCATTTCAAAGAAAAAACACTTAATAAACTCGAAAACCTTCTTTAAACGTTCAGCAAAACGTAATCCAACCCAACTAAATTCGAAATAAAATGAAGCACAGTTAGCATGTTTTTAATTTTTTTTTGCAAAAAATGGTAAAAACATCAGCAACATCCTTTCGATAAATTTTACAATATACCGGGGGTAACAATAATATATTAGCACAAAAATCAAAACATTAAAATTATTTGATTTACGAGGGTTTTTAAAATTATGCGTTAATTTTGAGGTGCAGTGTAGTTCCTTCGCACAGCTTGGGACTATTTTGACAAATTTATTGTCGGATTGACTATATGCACATCTGCTTGGTTGTATCTATAAATTACATATTGAATGAGTCTTCGTAAGATTTGATCGGTCAATTCCTTCTCGAGATAAGTTTAATATTGTTTATGAAAATTCTTAAATGTTTATAAATTTTGCAAAGTCAGAACTTTTTTTTAAACAATAGATACTCCAATGGCCAGAGACGAAAATGCCACTAAACCTCTAAAAATGATACGAACAAGCTGAATTTTGCTGAGCATATTAATTTTCGTACCCCAAAAAAGATGCAAAAAAGTTTACAACTGGATTCCCTCTAAAACTTCTCTCGCAGGGGGATAAAAACGCAAAAAAATCAATTTACCAAGAATCTGTACATCGTAGAAAAAAAGTTTTTCAAATAAAAAATGTAGCTGAGATCATTTTAAACAAAAATTTTTATAAGCGAACATCGATTTTACATGTCAGTTACTTGCGCGAAATCAATGTTCAATAAAATTTGTGTCAGCTCGACGGTAAAAATTCGATATCTTTTGATTGAAGTGACACATTGACAACAATCAAGATGCGTTTTAAAGGTAATAGTACAGTGAACGAAGGTAAAAATCAACTATTACCTCCGATTTCGGTGAACCTCCATCGATTTGAATAAAAAAGTATATTTTACCCTCAATTTCAAAAGTGATATATACTCAAATTGCACTTTTTGCATTTTAGGGGTGAAATCCACCCCTATTGTTAAAAATGGTAAAAATTGCAGATTTAAGCATTCGGGCATAAGTAATCTCGATTAATTAAATAAAATAAATATTTTGCAACATTTATAAGCAGGATTTATTATTTTAATTAATTTTTCAACCCTTTTAGCAACCATCCCTTAAATCGAAAATCATGAAAAAATCATTTTTTATATTTCTGAAATATCAAATCGCATATTAATATTACCCAAATAGTTTCTTTAATGTTTATGAAATAATTTTTGATTTAGGGTCATTCTGGCAACAGTGGGTCACATTTTTTTAAAATCACATAGCTCTGAAATTATATGAGCTATAAAAGTTAAATTTTAATGATGAAAAGGTAGGTTCCTTGGCTACACATTGGATAATTTTTTTTAAACACATTTGCTGGTTTTTGAAAAAAAAAAGTTTTTGACTCACTGTGTCCTTAGATGGGTATACAGTGGGTCAACCGCGAGGGCACAGTGGATCAGGAGGATATTGGAGTAGAACAAGATAGGAGATTTCTAATATTTTTACTCTTTATTAAAAAAAATAAATGCTTATTACAAATTATAACCTTCTTAGCTTTTAAATGTAAATTAATTATGTCTTATAAATGTTAACAAAACATAAAATCAACTCAAATAGCGTTCCACATGTCAACTAGCGGATATCGATTTGAGAAAAATCAACATTAAAATAATAGTAAGACTGTTGACGTAAGGTACTTCCTCCCAGACAAGGTTTAGGCAATATAAGTTTTACATCGTTCTCGTTAACATATGATACATCAGGATTACTTGGCATGTGAAACTGATATTTGGGATTTGAACAAAGAAAGCTTACATAATATTCAAATTTATCATTACGCTCACGCAAAACTATTTCTACAAAATAAACACTTTTCCGTTTAGTTGCAAAACGAACAAGAACGTAATCTTCTTTCTTTGGAAAGCGAGGCAAGTCATTGAGCAATAACTTTTCATCGGTTAGTATTTCGATTTTATTTCCAACTTCGTCTTCCACTTCTTCGTCCCAGCAGTCGGAGTCTTCATCATGAATAGAAATAGTGTCATCTTCTGATTCACTCTGCAATACTTTCCTTGCAGCTTTTTTCTTTGGTTCATTTGTTTTGTTTTTCTTTGGTAATTTTTTTTTCTTGACTTCCGATCGTTGCACTCTAATATTTTTCTTCTCCGGTGTATCCGTTGCGATTATGCTCCGGCCAGGTTTTTTTTTCTTTTGTTTGCCCTTGGCTAAGCTTTGAGGGGCTGCCTGAATTGAC